ACGACGTCATTCCTCTGTTGCACGTCCTGGAACAAATGCTGTTAACAATGCTGGTCAGGGTGCGGTAGACGTGGCGCACAGATCTCAACGCCACATGACCCCTGTGGGGGCAGGACAGGAAGAAGAGGAGGAGGTAGAGGAGGACATTGGTGCTCAGGAATTATTGAGTGAAATGGGTGGTTTTTCCACTCAGCGGACAGGAGTGGAGGAGCAGGAGCATCTGGTAGAGGAGGAGGAGGAGACAGAGGACCCAGACGCACCGTGGCAGTATGCTGTGGAGATGGAGGCAGGGAGTCCCTCGCATTCCTTGGCACAAATGGCCCATAGCATGCTCGGTTGCTTGCGTAGCGACAGCCGAATAATAACCATCAGACAGAGGGATGACTTTTGGCTGTCCACCTTGTTGGACCCTCGCTACCGTTCAAAAATGGTGGCCTTTTTCACACCTGCTGAGAGGGAGGCCAAAATAAAGTACTATAAAAACCACCTATGTAGTCATGCAGTATATAGCCCTATCGGCCACTTTCTGGCATCCAGTTGCTGTAGCCCCCATCACCACACTGTGCCACGGGCCCCTGTACCGCCTTCTCATACTGCTGCCAGATCCATCCTCTGCCATGTGCGTCTTTGTCGTCTGCTCACGCTGCTGGGTTCCAGTTTTAAACCTAGGCCTGTGTATGGCTTCCGAATACTGCTGCCTCCACCGCCACCCTGCGCCATGTGCCTCTGTCGTCTGCTCACGCTGCTGACGGCTTCGCTTTTTAACCTAGGCCTGTGTTTGGCTTCCGAATACTGCTGCCTCCACCGCCACCCCACCCTGCGCCATGTGCCTCTGTCGTCTGCTCACGCTGCTGACGGCTTCCGCTTTTTAAACTAGTCCTGTGTATGTCTTCCGAATACTGCTGCCTCCACCGCCACCCTGCGCCATGTGCCACTTTCAGGTCTCCTTACACTTTTGTTGGTTTCCATTTTGTGATAGGGTGCTGTATGGCCTTCCATTGCTGCTGCATCCACCGCCACCCTGCGCCATGTGTCTCTGTCGTCTGCTCACGCTGCTGACGGCTTCCGCTTTTTAACCTAGGCCTGTGTATGGCCTTCAATTGAAGCTGCTTCTGCTCCGCCACTCTGCCATTGGACTCTTGATAGTCGTCTCCCCACGCTGCTGCTGGGGGGACTTTTTAACATAGGCCTTTGTATGGCCTTCAATTTTAGCTGCTTACACTCCGCCACTCTGCCATGGGCCCCTGTACCGCCTCCTCATCTGCTGCCAGGCCCGTAATCTGCCATGGGCCCCCGTACCGACTCCTCATGCTGCTGCCAGGCCCGTAATCTGTCATGGGCCCTGTACCGCCTCCTCATGCTGCTGCCAGGTCCAGAGTGTGTCATGGGTCCCTGTACGGCCTCCCATTGCTGCTGTCTCCATCGCCACACTCTGCCATGTGCCACTTTCAGGTCTCCTCACACTGCTGGTGGGTTCCATTTTGTCATAGGGTGCTGTATGGCCTCCCATTGCTGCTGCCTCCACCGCCACACTGTGGCTCCACACTCTGGTTTTGGCCCCGTGACTGCCCAAATGAGTGAAGTGTGCGGTGATTCTAAGATCGACGGCACTCATCTGCATGTCATACTGACTGACAGTATTATTTCTCTTCCCCAGCAGACTCCAAGGGCATTTAAATTAAAGGTACAGTGTTCTGCACTAATATAAAGGCTCTCTGAAGCCTATAAACACCCTTTTTATAAGTTAAATTTGCAGCGAATATATTCGGCACGAAGCGAATTTAATCGGCGAATTCGGCGAATCAGCCGAACCGAATTTTTGAATAATTCGCTCATCTCTAGTGATAATGCTGCTAATGTTTTTATAAATGTATGTTTTAATGTAACTGTGAAGCACTTTGGGCAACAACATTGCAATTAAATGTGCTATATAAATAATTAAAAGTTGAAATGCATTTCTCACTCTATCAAGCTTGCCATGTGCACTTTTTAAATTTAATCAATCAATTGGTTAGTGTAATGTTTACTATCTTTACTCACTCCAAACACTCCACACAGTTACTCTGCCCACTCCACCCAGTTACTCCGCCCACTCCAGTTGTAGACTACTGGTGGAGGCAAGAACACTTCACACAATTTCCCCAGAAATTGTAGCTTTTCTAGTTATTATTATTATACAGTGTTTATATAGCGCCAAAAAGTTTGCTCAGCATTGTACAATATAGTGGGGGACAGTACATGAGACAATACAGTAACAAAACAATATACGAGAGGTTCGAGGGCCCTGCTCTTTCGAGCTTACAATCTAGGAGAACATATAAATATTTTTTTTAAATTTATATTCAAAAATGTAAAAATCCAGTGCTGATCAAATGCCATAAAAAGAAAGCTGAAAAAAAATTATATACCGTATTTTCCGGCGTATAAGACGACTGGGCGTATAAGACAACCGCCTACTTTTCCTGTTAAAATATAGTGTTTGGGCTACACTCGCCATATAAGACTACCCCTCTTCCAATGCACACCAGTGGGAAGAATCGTGCCCCATCATTGGTGTCAGTGGGAGGAATAGTGCCCCATCATTGGTGTCAGAGCGACGAATCGTGCCCCATCATGGGAGGAATGTGCCCCATCAGTGGGAGGAATAGTGCCCCATCATTGGTATTAGTGGGAGGAATAGTGCCCCATCATTGGTATTAGTGGGAGGAATAGTGCCCCATCATTAATGTCAGAGCGACGAATCGTGCCCCATCATTGGTGTCAGTGGGAGGAATGGCACCCCATCATTGGTGTCAGTGGGAGGAATAGCGCCCCATCATTGGTGTCAGTGGGAGGAATAGCGCCCCATCATTGGTATCAGTGGCAGGAATAGTGCCCCATCATTGGTATCAGTGGGAGGAATAGTGCCCCATCATTAGTATCAGTGGGGGGAATACTGCCCCATCTTTGGTGTCAGTGGGAGGAATCGTGCCCCATCATTGGCGTCAGTGGGAGGAATAGTGTCCCAACATTGGTGTCAGTGGGAGGAATAGTATTCCATCATTGGTGTCAGTGGGGGAAGGAATAGTGTTCCATCATTGGTGTCAGTGGGGGGTGGAATAGTGCCCCATCATTGTTGTCAGTGGGGGGGGGGAGGAATAGTGCCCCATCGTTGGTGTCAGTGGGGGGGAGGAAAAGTGCCCCATCGTTGGTGTCAGTGGGAGGAATAATGCCCCATCATTGGTATCAGTGACACCAATGATGGGGCACTATTTCTCCCACTGACACCAATTACACTTGCTGACCCCTGTTCCAGTATGGTGCTGCTGAAGCCAGCATATGTGGTTGCAGCAGCACCTCTGCACGGCACACTAACCGGCCGCTCCTTCACTCGATTTTCGTGGGGCCGCTCGGCTCCACCTCCTCGCCAGTGATTGGCCGCCTGTGTGCCTTTCCTGAGCTACAGTTCTGGCGGCCAATCACCGGTGAGGAGGCGGAGCCAAACTGAATGAAGGAGCAGCCGTGCTTCCTGGACTGGATCGTCGTGGGACTGGGACCGGAGCCAGGTAAGAAACAGCAGCCCCTGCCCACCCCTGTACTTAGTGTCCCTTCTGTTGGAAGGGGGGGTGGCGGCCCCCCTAAAAAGTGCCGCCCTGACACCAAGTGTCAGCATGCCGTATACCTGCGTATAAGACGACGCCCGACTTTTGAGAAGATTTTCGAGGGGTAAAAAGTTGTCTTATACGCCGGAAAATACGGTAAATTTAATTTGTGTACAGCGTTGTATGACCGCAAAATTTCCAGATAAAACACTGCAGTGCCAAAAAGCAAAAAATTGCCTGGTCATGAAGGGGGGGTTAAAACTTCCGGAGGTCAAGTGGTTAATAGCTATTATGACAAATTTATATGCTAGATTTTATATTTTATATAACATATTGAAATACATGAAAACATATTGCAATGCTACTTTCGTCCATATGAATAATTAAGTGTTCTTGCATGGCAAGACCACTTACTGTTATCTCACATATATATTCTTATTATTATAGCCAAATTTACCACCCTAACTCCTCCCACAGTTTTTACACTACATAGACAGTATTATACTGAAACGTGCGGATTGTTCCCGATTGGTGAGCTATTACTTTGTGGAACGTTACGCCGAATTGTTCACAAAATATCTGCGTTTTTGTGGTGAAATAGAGTGGGAGCTGACAAAAGCTAGAGTGTGAGCTGAAAAATCAGGACATGATTTCTAAACTGCCATCACTCCCTCATTTTCAAGCCCACCTACACAAATCTTATATCAAATCGTTCAGCTATCCCTGCTGCCACTAAAAATGTCCATGGCTAAGCCATAGTCCTGATAGTTTTCACAATATGACCATTTGTTTGCAACTGACACCACCCATTGACCTTTTCACAGTTACTCCAGCCACTCCAACCACACAAACAGTTACTCAAGCTACTCCACCCAGTTACTCCGCCCACTCCAGTTGTAGACTACTGGTGGAGGCAAGAACACTTCACACAATTTCCCCAGAAATTGTAGCTTTTCTGGTTTCTATTCGGATTGTGTTATTCTTGTATATTGTCTGTTGTGAATTCCACAGTTTTTACAGTTATCCCAGTTTTACTGAGCCATGGGAATTCTCTAAGTTCAAATATACAGCAATCCTTTCAGTGCTCACATTCACTGACCCAGAATGAGCACGCAGATCAAGAAAGTCAGAGACTTACTGATCGCTATACTTGCCCCTGGTCAGAAACTGAAGGTATTGAAACAAGGGGGTAAACATCACAAATAGCATTTTCAGAAAACAAGTTTGGCAATGGCAGCCTTTGTGTTTCTATAATAGCCGGGTTTTTGTTTTTCTTTAAGAAGCTGGAAAACGATTGAAACCATCATCCGCCAACCAGAACAAACTTATGGGTTTTGAAAAGCCTTGTCTTTTAATTGACTAATTTAGGCAAAGAAAGTGTTGTAAACCATAACATTTGTCTCCTCCCTGTCTTACCAGGATGGCACTTTGCGCTGCCCGATATGTCAGACATTGCACGGTGTGAAGATTGGGTCTCAGCCTGCTGGGAAGATGTCTTTCCATATCATTCCTCATTCCTTGCCTGGGTATTCTGAGTTTGAGACCATACGTATCATCTACCATATTCCTCCTGGAGTACAGGTAAGTCAGGCATCCTACTGATCAGAGAATTGCTATTTCCAATCTGGAAACTCAGTCATTGCGCAAAAGCCAGCCACTAGTTCCGAATATGGACATCCATATGCAGGATCTACTTTCTGCTTAGGAGTGCTGTGCTGTGAGTGTACTCAATACAAGTCTATAATTCAGTGTGACCTGACTGGAAACCAGAGCTGGGACAAGGGGTGGGCAGGAAGGGTGGCTGTCCTGGGCGCAATGGTTTACTGCAGAGATGGGGGTGCTTTCCTTCTGTTACAAGGCTGACAGGAGTAGTGACAATGACATCACTACTCCTGTCAGCCCAGCACTAGGAGCAGCAAGGAGAGAAGAAGAGAGCCGGGAAGTGGTGCAGGCTGTGTTCTGGCTCCCCCTTCTCCTTCCTGCCAGTTCACAAACACACAGGAGCTGCATTAGCAGGAAGGATGAGTGGGAGAGAGAGCACAGCCCCCACCACAAAAACACAATTGTCCAGGAGAGAACCGCAAGTGGAGGAGAGAGCCATCAACACAAGCATGTGCCCAGTGTTAAAACTGAGCTGCACAGTGATTTTGACAAGTGAATGACTGCTGGGCAGAGGATCCCCTAAGCTTACACATCATGAACAGGGGGCGCAGTTTGGCATCTTTGCCCTGGGTGCTGGATGACCTTGTCCCGGCACTGCTGAAAACAATAGACTCTTTACAACTTTAATTTGATTACATATGCAGGCTCTACTTCCTGCCTTGGAGTGCTGTACTGTGCATGTACTTACTGCTCCTGTAACTCAGTACAAGTCTATAATTCAGTGCAACCGGACTGAAAACAACAGACTCTCTACAACTGCAGTTTGATTACATATGCAGGCTCCGCTTCATGCTTAGACAGGAAACAGCATTTTGAGCATTACTAACATTCTCCAACTAGTCCGCACAAAAATCCTAAGTAAAGCAGAACTTCGCTCTCCCAGTCAATATTGACTATTTTGAATCCTTATGCTGCTAGCATTAGTAAACAGATAGGAAGGTATATAATATTTACTCTTAATTTTTTTTTTTTACATTTCTTCAGTTGCTTCCTGGTTTCCATGCCTAAGCAAATGATGTCAAACACCCCAGGAGTCTTCAGGAGGGGAAGTGGGTAGGAGGGATTTTCTCAGCCAAGCACACCCTCCTGCCTGCATGACTGTGCTATGAGCAGATGGATTCCAGGAAGTAAATGCTACATGAATTATCTGCCCTTAGTCAAGATGACCATGGCTAGAAATGCTAGGGGGGTGTTTTTCAAAGTGATTTCTCAGCAAAGCATGGAGACGGGGATGGATGGAGGAGTTTTCTTTAAATATTAAATATTAATTAAATAGCATTTTCATTTTGTGGTGCTCAGATGCAGTGCAGTCCCACTTTAAACGGTTTTAAGATGTCTATTATTTGAACAAATTATTTTCTAGTAGATAAGCCTGCCACTGTTTATGGAACAAGCATTTGTACAAGATCTGTTATGTGCCTGTAGAGCATTATATTATGTCTGTGGGTAGCCATTCCTTGAAATACAGATAAAAACTAGAGGGAGAATGTGCACACCCATGGAGGGCCATGTTTACCCATGCAGGGATGCACAGGTGTTCCATGCACACCCATGCAGACAATCCCAATGATGTGTGGATGGCCTGCATGGTGATGAACAGAACACCTGTGCATCCCCATTTGGGTAAACACAGCCCTCCATGGACATATGCCTTAGTATGCCACATGTGAACAAGGCCTAAATGAAAATATATTATAGGTTGCCTTAAGGCCAAGCCTTTGTCAGTCTCAAATTGCCATCTCTACCCATATGGAAGAAAAATATATTTGAAATATATTTAAAAAATATTCTTCCCAAATATATTGCCATATACTTGAAATACTACAATTTTATCCATATTCAAAAAATATATACCGTATTTGCCGGCGTATAAGACGACTTTTTGACCCTTGAAAATCTTCTCAAAAGTCGGGGGTCGTCTTATACGCCGGTACACATGTTAGGGGGGCTGTGGCATTAAGTACAGGGGTTTTGCAGGGGCTGATGTCTCTTACCTGGATCCAGTCCCACGACGATCCGGTCCAGGAAGCGCGGCGTCTCCTTCAGTTCGGCCACTGGATGTTCGTGCGGCTGCTCGGCTCCGCCTCCTCACCGGTGATTGGCCGCCAGAACTGTAGCTCAGGAAAGGCACACAGGCGGCCAATCACCGGCGAGGGGGCGGAGCCGAGCGGCCCCATGAAAATTGAGTGCCGGAGCAGCAGGTAAGTGTTCTGTGTAGAGGTGCTGCTGCAACCACATATGCTGGCTGCAGCAGCACCATACGAGAACAGGGTCAGCAAGTCTCAGTGGGAGGAATAGTGCCCCATCATTGGTGTCACTGATACCAACGATGGGGCACTATTCCTCCCACTGATACCAACGATGGGGCACTATTCCTCCCACTGACACCAACGATGGGGCACTATTCCTCCCCCCCACTGACACCAACGATGGGGCACTATTCCCCCCCCCACTGACACCAACGATGGGGCACTATTCCACCCCCCACTGACACCAATGATGGGGCACTATTCCACCCCTCACTGACACCAATGATGGGACACCATTCCTCCCACTGACACCAATGATGGGGCACCTATTCCCCCCACTGATACCAATGATGGGGCACTATTCCTGCCACTGATACCAATGATGGGGCACCATTCCTGCCACTGATACCAATGATGGGGCACCTATTCCCCCCACTGATACCAATGATGGGGCACCTATTCCCCCCACTGATACCAATGATGGGGCACTATTCCTCCCACTGACACCAATGATGGGGCACTATTCCTCCCACTGACATCAATGATGGGACACTATTCCTCCCACTGGTGTGCATTGGAAGAGGGGTAGTCTTATACGGCGAGTATAGCCCAAACACTACATTTTAGCAGGAAAAGTAGGGGGGTCGTCTTATACGCCCAGTCGTCTTATACGCCGGCAAATACGGTATATATATACACACTGCATGTTGAAATTCATTTTTATTACACAATATATGAAAAATATTTTTAAAAATACATTTCAAATATACTGTATGTCTTTAAAAATACAAATCTACATTTTTGGTATGCATTTACAAATATATGTAAAAATATATGATATATATATATGACTATATATATGATGTATATTTGACTTTTTTTTATGTAAAAAAAAAATCTGAAGAATATATTTTGAAAAATGTATTTTTAAAAAGTATATATTTATTTATTGAAATATCATTTGAAATATATTGAAATATGGACAAAATTGTAGTATTTCAAATATATGGCAATATATTTGGGAAGAATATTTTTCAAATATATTTCAAATATATTTTTCTTCCATGTGGGCAGCTTTGAAGGTTGAGGTGTTTAAGCAGCACACTAGATTCAAACGGGGGTGTAAGTAACTATGAAATTTAGCACTGGGGACCTGAGAGAAGCCAGAACTAGATGTACATAACTCGATAAGGCTTTACTGGTATGCAGTAGCTATAATGACTGATCGAAGTGAAAGTACCTGGTTTATGTTATTCATGGTGTCATTTCTCTATACTTAGGGTCCAGGTCAGCCCCATCCAGGGATGAAGTTTACTGCTCCAGACTTCCCTCTTCACTGTTACCTCCCTAATACAAAGAAAGGAAGAGAGGTAAGTGTACATGCACTAGAGTGTCTATAAAGAGTCAAAGCACTTTCAGAGTACTTATGGGTGGCACTGAGACCTTTTGTCCAACCTCTGTGTCTGTAGTTCTTTGCATAGCAAGTCCAAGTGCAAAGGGTGGTACTTGGAACCTAGGAACCCTTAGAATGCATTTTCATAGGCTCAGATTCTGGAACTTTAAGGAAACAAAGAACTGAACAACCAAAAGAATTGCATGGATATGGACAGTCAGTTGTACATTATAAATGTCAGGTTGAATGTTTGCAGCACTTGTCAGGAAGGCTTCATGAGATGGCTACACACATTACAATTTGATTGTAGAATCTTCATATAACCTCTTTTACAATTTTGATATGCGAGCGCCTACCTAAACAAGCCATTCAATTTTATATTCAATGACACGATTTCTTCCTCTACATACAGTAGTTTCAGTAAATATAAGAAATATTGTATAGTCAGATTGTAATGTGTGTTACCAGCATTAGATGGTTAAAATGCGAATATTCATGATTGACTGGAGTATGCTTTTAAAGCAGAACTATACATTAAAATGTAACTCCACCCAAAAGGTGAAGTTACGCTTTAAGACCTCCTAACCCCTCCTCTGTCACATTTCGCAATCTTTTTGGTAGGGGGTGGAGCGGGTACCTGGTTTTGACAGGTACCTTCTCCCACTTCGGCTCAGATTTCCTAGGCAATCCGAGCAGACGTTCTCCTCCCCCCCCTTCCTCCCTGCAATCTTCTAGGGCACGGTACAGATCCCAGAAGACTGCAGGACCAATGACAATGTGCAGCACGGCTCATACATGAAGCTGCAAGCTGTCACAGATGGGTACCAACAGTTAAGATGCTGGTGCTGAGGTTCGCGCCCCACATTGGGCGCCAAAAAAAAAAAAAAAGATGCCAGGAAACAAATACAGCTCTCAGAACCCCCCTCGGGTGAGCACATCGCTGGATCTGGGGACAGATAAGTGTCTGTTTATTAAAAGTCAGCAACTAAAATTTTTGTTATTTTTACTAAAACGACTGCTTTAACCTCCCTAGAGGTATTCCTGAGTGTAGCTCGGGGTAAAGTTTCAGCACCACAAGCGGTAACCCCGAGCTACACTCGGGAATGCCTTGCAGCGTTGCTCCGGGATCTCTTCTTCACTTACCTTGTCCTGCGCTCCCGCGATCTCCCTCCCGCAGTGTCCCCTGCAATATCCTCCGGCGGATACCGACATCCGTCTTCTGGGTTCCGTTCCCTGCAACGTCGGGACGTACGAGGGACGGAACTGGCGGGAAATTTGAAAGTTGTAAAAATGACATTCACAAAATACACTGAAATCATATAGTAAAACATTACTGTATCAAAGCATTTCACATACATTTTGTCCCGAGTGCTTTGTCCTGTGCCCTGCCTGCATTTTTACTGTTCTTTCTGCCTGGAAACTGAGAAATGTCCATGGCGTCCAGAAAGCGTCCCTTTATGTCAAAAGCGGTTTTAGACCGGCTAGAGAACAGCGATAGTAAATTAGAACTACTTGCAGAATTGAGTGATAATGATTAGTGGGGAAATTCGTCATCAGACACTGAAAACGATTTTGCGACTTTGCTCAGTGATGTGCGAACTTGGCGCTATAGTTCAAATTTCAGTGTTTTTGGTTTGATTATATTATTGAATCAAATTTATTATTATTATATTATTATTTTTTATGATTATTTATTAAATTATAATTTATGATTTTGTGTTTCAAATTTTAACATACCCGGGATGTTTACTAGACTCTTGTTCGGACAGATTTCAGTGAGTTATTCCTAAAAATTACAGGCCTACAATAAAAAAAAATACATATTTCCATGCAAAAAAATGTACCGCTTTGAACACAAAAATATGGACATAATCAGACCGCTAGGGAGGCTACTATAAAGCGACTTAAAAAAATACCCACCTCTTAGAAAAATATGTAACATTAAAGAGAGATGTCAAATGCTAACCTGTCTTTTGTAATTCTATCATGAACCCCATACAACACTGGTCATAGGTAATACTATGTGTATGTCCATGTTGGACCGATGTGTTGTCCTGTATCAGATCTGGGTTACGTTGTCCTTCAGGGGGTCTCATAACTGAGAGAGGTGTGATTAGACTTGTTGAGGTCTAAAAGCAACTGAAAGGCGCTCTGCTAATAATAATTGCTAAATGATAATTCAACCATTTCCCTCCCGGCCTATGGCCGAATGACGGCCGGCAAAAACCCTCACCTTTCCGGGTGGACACCATATGGCGTCCTTTCGGGCATGCGCAGTTTGCACGCCTGCAGAGCCGTGCAGCGGCGCGATCTGTCACCGGCCGAGTACCTCGGACACGGCCGATGACAGATCTGAGTACCGGCCCCGTTGCGGGTACCTGTGACCTGCTGTGACCAATCACAGCAGGTCACATGACAGCTGTATACAATGGATGGCTTCATTCATGCCATCCATTCTATACTAGTGTGTCTAGCTGTGAATGGTCACAGCGATCACATGCACAAGCTGGGCCAATCGCAGCCCAGCTGTGTCATGTGATTAGCCGTGGTCAAATCACAGCTAAGCACAAAAAAAAAAAAAATCCCTGAATGAATCGATGTCATTCAGGTAAATGCTTGCTTATAGCAAAGTAATTCTTTGCTATAAGCAAATTGTGTAAAAATAAAAAAATACTGATCACTTCTCCAAAGTAGTACAATGTTACTGTGGTAATATTGTACTACTTTGGTCATAGTGAAATATGAAAAAAAATCTTTAAAAAAACGTAATAAAAAAATAAAAATTTAAAAATTAAAAAAAAAATTGTTTTTTTTTTTTCATACTTTCATCACTCAGTGTCCCTGATCACAGCCATGCCAGTCATATGATGACGCTGTACTGCACTGGTGACAGTATGTAAAAAAAAATTGTGAAAATATTTTTTTAAATTTTTCCATTTTCCGAAAAATTATGTCCAAAAAAAATACAACTTCAAAAAACTCGCCATGCCTCTTATGAAGTACGCGGACTGTCTACTTTGCAAAAAGGGGTCATTTGGAGGATATCTGTACTGTTCTGACATTCTTGGACCTTAAGAAATTAGATTGGCTGTCAGTACTTCAGGATTGATCAATATTCAGATATATCTCATAGTTTGTGAACTCTATAACTTTCCTACAAACTAAAAAATACATCCTAATTTGGGTTATTTTCACCAAAGAAATGTAGCAGAATACATCTTGGCCTAAATTTATGAAGAACAATTATTTATTTGCAAACTTTTATAACAGAAACAAAGAAAGATGTGGTTTTTTTTCAAACTTTTTGGTCTTTTTTTGTTAATTTAGCAAAAAATAAAGCCCCAGTGGTGATTAAATACCACCAAAAGAAAGCTCTAGTTGTGTGAAGAAAATGATAAAATTTTAGTTTGGGTACAATGTTCCCCAGAAACACGTTGGCTGTACTACTACCTGTGAACTAGCAACTTCAATATACTTCATAAATTTAACTGCCAGACAGACTCTTTACTGGGCTAGGTGCGCCATTACACTCATCTTAGATATGACATACTGATATTGGTTCATGGTCTTTGTAAAGGGAAGTATTATTGTGCAGGCATGACCACTAAGTTGACATTCTCCTGTGCAGGCATAACCACTAAGTTGACATACGTCACCCAAAATTAAAGTCCACCCAACCCAATACTCAACCTAGTCTCCACCCAGGCCATGCCCCTGACATATTCCACCCTGCCCACAGGGCTTGGTCACAGAGGTCTGTGACCAAACCCTGTAGGTGGGGCAAAACAGACATCAGAGGGAGTGGCCTGGAAGCAACCCAGGTTGAGGCCACTGTTCTCTCCAACTTATACATGAGTGCAGTGTCCTTCCATCTTTAGATTGCATACTGGGCTTGGATGAGCACCCCAGATGCTGGCACCTGCTACACAGTGGATCACTTGAAGGAATTGACTGGCGCTTGGAGAGGTACTCAAAGTTGTTAGACAAGGCCTCAGTCTTGTTCACATGAGCAATGAAGAGCTTACAAAGCAAAAGAGCATTTCTTGAGTTAAGTATGGAAATGTACTGTAGGCTGCAGGGAATTTTGCAGTTGTACTTGCAGAGTTGCTTACGTTCGAGCAGCCTAACAGAACTTTCCATGACCCAAAGACAATCTGTCATTGAATATGTCAGGTTCACCAGATTGTTTTCTGTAACCCCTCACTTTGCACAATTGAGAAAATTTTCTGTGTGTTTAATTCTTATTGTCTTTTCAGATACTGCTCCTCCTTATAAAGGCCTGGGAGCGACGCCTTCTCTTCCCCATCTTCCCATCCCGTGTCCCTGGTGTCCTGGATTCTGTCTCAATCACCCGGATCCCACTCAAGACTGAGTTTGGCTCAAATATCACTGGCAAGGGCTTTCCTGACTCCCGGTATCTGGACAGTGTTTTGCGGCAGCTACGGGACTGGGAGGTGTCAAGTGACTGACCCAAAATGACTAATGACTCTTGACATACCAGCATAGTTTGCTCCAAGTTGTTGCAATGGTTACATTAACCAGTCACTCCTCACATATTCAGTTCTCTGCTTTTAGTGCAGAAAAAAAGTATTTACATTTGTATATATATTTCTATGTTTGTATATATTTTCTTCTACTCAGAGTGCAGGTTCTTTGCGGGTTCTTTGATAATTTCAGCACTTTTTTGGTGCATTAGCTCACTAGTTAAAGGTCAAATCCATGTTAAAAAGAAGTCATCTACCCAGGGAGAGAAGAACCACAGATTTCTTATACCTACTCCCCAGGGCTGGTTCCATAGACTTACTATGGCTGGTTATCCCATCAGTGTCCCCTCACAGCACAGAAGCAACAATGTCAAGATGGCCATCAGCAGCCTGACTCCAGCCAAAACATTTTTAAGTATGAGATATCATGGGCAGAGGTTAGAATCTCTGTTAGTTTTTTTAAATATCATTGTCACTGTAGAGATTTTACCTCATTTTCTGTTCTGACACCCATCAACTGGAGAGGAAGTGAAGGGAAACCATCCATGTGGGAATGTAGACATCCAGAAACAAGTTATAACTCATCCTCTCTACTGGATTTTTTTCATTCTGCAATTGAGATTTCACTTTACGTCCTGTTCTGTCTTTCACCTATCAAAAAGACAGGAAGTGAGGCAAAATCTCTAAAATGGAGACAAAGACAACAATAAAATATGACAGAATTGACCGAGTCCGAGCCCTGCTAAAGACACTTTGATGGCTCAGAGCGCACAGTGATGGGTCTGTCAGCACTGGTTACATCACAGACTTTAAAGGATCCAGAAGCCGTGACATCAGAAAGTACATGGCTGGTGTAAACAGGGCACTTAATGGAGGGATGTGGGCAAATGCTCCTAAGAAAAGTTAAAAATTAAAATGGAGGCTCCCAGGAAGCTCCCGTTGATGAAGGAACCTTGTAAGATTGTGCCCTGGATAGTGGGTGATGGTATGTGTGAGACAGATGTGACTGGTGCTGAACAGGGGCCCAGTCTATGTGCGCCACTGACTCAGACCTCTTTGTGGCCTTCCTAACACACCTTCACCACGAGAATCTTATTAGCTGGGTTGCTACTGTGCCTCCTCATCTTTTCCATAACTGTCAATAAATGCTTGGCTATTACTAGGATCAGCATATTGCAGGTGAAGGGATGAGGTCGATCTCAGCACTGAACCCAGAATAGACCCCTCTGGGGTCTTTTCTCCTTTAGCAGCAGAGTATAGCAGAGGGGACTCCTTCAGAGATTGGTTGCTTGGTTGAATTGCCCCTGATTTTACTGTGAGCAGTATTTTGAGTATGCCTAGAGACCTGCAAAGAATTTGCACCTGATGTCCATCTGCTAGTTATCAACCCATCTCTAGGAGATGAATCTTTCACTACTGCAATTGGTTTAATTGTTTAATTTGGCTATACCCAGTATAAAAAAAAAAATAGAGGGTCAATCCTGCCAGAACTGGTGCTGAATTATAGTGAGTTGAAACAACCCTGCAGCTTTCCTAATCTCTTGAAAGTTTGAAGCAGTGAGGTCTCATCTTTAGAGTTTCCAGTTGTGCATCAGTGAGCGACAGGTTTGTTGGTAATCAAGGGAATTCCCTTTCTTCTGCTACATTCTCTGTAATTTAACTTGAATAATCAATATAAAAAGGAGTGACACCGTTGGGTCACAGGTGGGCATAGCTGGGAACTATGCAGTCAGATTTTTATGGGCACCCCTTATAAAGAACATAGCTGGTGGGTGGAGCTGAGAACCCCAGCGCTGAGATCTTGATTGACATCCTCTTGTAATGGCCATGGCAGGTGGGCAGAGCTAGAAACTTTAGTAGAATAAATTTGCTGCCAGGTTTTTTAAACTTTTGAGTCAATGCAAAAGCATTTACCTAAGGCTGGTGTATCAGTTTTGGGGGAGCCAACTCAAAAAATGGCAAACCAATGACAATGGAAAACAACCTGGAATTCAAAAGTTAATTCGTAACAAATTGTCTTTGAATATATATTTCTCCCTAAATAATAGGTGAGCAGGAATACACAAAACTATCAAGAGAACAGAAATAGAGTCAGACAGTATGTCAGGGAGATCTTGCTATTGAAGTACATAAGACATTTAGGAAATAAGGGACTGGCTCAGCTGAACAGGCTTCACCTATAAATAAAATATCTTTTTTGGGTGGACCTACCCTTCAAGGTTCAGGATGGCCCCTTTATTACATGGATGATGGTAAAATTGGTTGAGTAATCAGATTTGATTTGGTGTGGCTGTCCCAGCGGTAGAACCTTTAATAAACATGTGGAAGGTTTGAGCCTAAAGTAATAGATTATTATTTTGATTGAATTTCGGCCAGAGGTCAGGAAAGGAACAATGCTTATATATGTGTCTTTAATATAGCTTCTAATGTCCCAGTATACCTAGAACATGGTGGAAAAGACTCATGCAGGGGTTTATAGTAAGCAATACAACAATGTCTCTTAGTAGCCTTATATGCACCAGATTTGGTTCAACATGCACTGCAGCTTATTGTTTGCTAACTTTTCTTGTGTACAAAATCCATTTCTAGACTGAACATTGTCAATGTATATATGGAAGGACCTACGTTTTGTAAAATTTGGCCATGACATAACATGGTTACATGCATAATGTATTTGTGCTATTAACAAAAAATGTATTTAGGTACTTATCAAAGCATTTTAGATACAGATATTGTACATGTCCTTGATATACAATTGGATTCTACTTTTGTCAACCATAAAGTGTACCCTTGCTCAAATGTTAACTTAAAGCTATGCAACTGTTCTGCTGGGTTGGATGAGGATTAACAGAAGGACTTGCCCTTCCAGGAGAAAATGTTGCTCCATCTTCCCTTCAATCCTTTCTCAAAGCCTAGGAATTGGGTCATGTGATTCCTATTGAAAGGGAATATTTTAAATCAGATTTACTGATCTGCTATATTATGTTGGAAGAAAAAAAATGGAAAATCTGGTTGTTTTCCAGAGTCAACCAAGTCTATCCTTCCTTCAGACATTTGGGGGTAGATTTACTAAAATTGATGCATTCAGATCAGTTTCATAACTTCAGCACACCAGGTTCTAACTTCAGCATGTTTAGTTAGGCTTTGGCAATAAAACCTGGATGCCGACTGTTTTTTATGTAGAGCTGCATCAGATTTTACACTCTCCAGTTTTAGTAAATAACCCACTTGGCAACTAAGACTGGTAATGCAGATATCCCACAGAGAGTTCTGAGTAGTAAAACGGACCTTTCCTGCATTTCTACAATGACAGGGCACCCTGTGATCTTTCCAGATTCAACCAACTGGTGAACCTTCTGAAAATACTCGTAGTAGCCCAGCTGTCATTCTCATCCAATGGCTTCAATACTTTCTGAGAAACTGATCTGAAACAAGTATGCAGAAACTGCATACTGACTTTCCAGTGTGTAGGCTTGTTCCCAGACAGGTACGCAACAAATTGTCTAAAATTCTTATTAACAGGCATCCAATTTCTGTTGTGTTACTTGATAATTAAAAGTACAGCCTGCTTAAGAATATTAAATCAAATATACTCTCTGGGCAAAAGCTGGGACACCAGATCATCCCACCTCTATGATCTTTTTGGACATACCCTTCAAAAATTATATTAATTAATAGCCCTGAAGAAGGGAGAGACTTTTCTCTCAAAAGGCTTTGGTTTGATGTACTTGTCGATATTCTCAATAAATGTCTCTTAATCTACCATCAAAAGTGCATTCTCTTGGACATCTGGTGCTCCTTCTTTCCTATTATTCCAAGTCAACATATGGAAATGAGCTTAAGGCCGTACCAAAAAGGCACAACCGACAGAGGGACATCTGCCTACCCCACCCACACAACTACCCACCTACGACCAGTGACTGATCCAGTCAGTCCAGCGTGGTCTTGAGAACAAATACTTAAAAAATTATAGGCATTAATACGGTGTTGCCCCCTCTTTCCCCTTATTTATTTATTTAACATCCTCCACTCTTCTTCTTACGGTCACTGTTTCAATTCTTCCCAAAAGTGTTTAGTAGGTTTAGGTCAGGGTTCTGTGAAGGCCATTTAGTTCCTCATCATAGAACTGGTCAAACCATGTGTTCATGAGCTAGGCTTGTGCACAGGGGCAAAGTTATGCTGGAACATAGGGGCCTCCCACCAAACTGTTACTACAAGATTGGAAATGCACAGTTGTCTAAAATGTCTTTGTATGTTGTAGCATTAACAGTACCCTTCACTGAACACACCTGAACTAAATAATTTAGAGGGGTGTCCACATAATTATGTCTGCATAGTGTAACCTGTTGGCCACTACAATTTTGTCCAAATGTAAGTCTTTGGCAGGGTGAGCAGAATTAGTAAACCTTGGAAATTAATATGTTACATCCAGGTATTCTGGGCATCAGTTATAATATGCATACTGTTCTTGCTTGCTTATAACAACCAATTGACTTCCAAATGTTAATTTTATTACCAGACCAAGTTAGAGCAATGAAAAGATTAATTTGATCCTGATTTCAAGAACATTGAATCTTTGCATCCACTTTACATCTTTTATGTCCTGTTAGTAGTCTCTCCTCGTTTCACAAAAGGAGGTTATTTTCCTATAAATCCTTTGTTTCAAAGGCTATAAAGAGAAGCTATATTAAAGAATGTTTGCATTGACTGCCAGAATTGTATTGCAAGTTAATTTTTACTTTGTTACTATGTGTATTTCTTTTTATATTTTTATATAGCTTTCTTATAAAAATAATTTGATATAACACAAAATGTTATCAAGTGAAAAAATCTGGGATACAAAATTTGTAAATTGTTTGTACTCCTGCCAAAATACACAATTCATTAATAAAATTGCAAAGTGCAAAGTTTTGTGTTTTTTTTTTTTTATCTGTGTCTATATGTTTTTTGAATTGCCATTAGAAAAATATCCCGACTTATCTATT